TCCCACCCAATCAGCTCCAACCCCACTGGCAGTTAAAAGGAAGAAACAGCTGCGATCACACACCACTCTTAGAAGCACGAAGCTGAAGACACCAGCCTGAAGATGACGAATGTGACTTCGTCGAAACGTCGCCAAGGTACGTTTAATTCTACGCGGGAGAAAACCCGAATAACTAAAGACCTACATATATATATATATAAGACCTTAATCTTATCTTTCTTCAAATGAATCTGATCAACTGAACTAATACCATCAAGCAAATATAGCCAATGTTATAAAAGTGCAAAACCCATCATACAATGAAATATCTTACTAATTCTGTTCTTTTGCAATCATATCCCAGTTTCTTGAAGAACATTTGGAGTGTGTGTGAAAGAGCAGTGGGATTTATTCTATTCTAACAGAACAGTATGTCAGTGAAATGACATCACTAAATATAATTCTATATCAAAGTCAGCGGAAGCAACACATCAACAGCAGTGGAACATACATTTATGAAAATGACTTGACTGCTGTCTGAACTTATACTGTAATACATTTCAAAATCAGAAACAGAAAAGAGTTTTCCTGGGGTTAAAAATGGGGGCTTTTGATATCTGAGGGTAAATAATCTTATTTGATTTGACATTCTTCCAGCCTAATATAGTAATATTGCTACAGTGAAATTAAATCACTGAAAAGTCGACAAGTTCAATAACTTTTCAGAAGTCAGTCATTACAAAGAAATAAAGTAAAATCTAATGTAGATTTCAAGTGAATTATAGGATCCGATCTGGGTTGGTCACTGGGACCATAGGTTTAGTCTTCCAAGATTTTGGACTTGTGATGGAGCCCATCCTTAGGGAACTTCTCTCTCAAGAAAGAGAGAGAGAAAAGTCCCATGAGGATGGGCTCCAGCACAAGTCCAAAAGCTTGGAAGTTTAAACCTCTGGCTCCGGTGACTGACACAGATTGGATCCTGCAACCGTATCCTGGGACACGTGTACTTATCTTCATTCATGAATTATATCTAGCCTGCATTCCATAATATTCTAAAAATTCTAAAATCAACTCTTTCCCCATGTACAACCCATTTACAGTTAATCAAACTATTGATCCTAGGTGTCAGCCTTTTGAGATAGGCCGACCTTTCAAGCAGTGTCAGGAAAGAGCTTTCCAGAGATTCCAGCATTCTATTTTATTGTTGTAGGATTTATTAGCAGAAAGCCTTGTCCCAAACCTTCACCACTCCGCTTTAAAGACAAAAAGGTCATGGTGGGGCTGTTCTGAGTTACTTTCTCATACTTCTTCTTACTTTCTCAGGGCTGAATAAACATTACATCTCTCCCATCTCCTTCACAAAACCTGAGGAAATTTGCTCCACACTTAGGAATATTAGCATGGAATTCTTTTAAAGTTTGCATTGCAGCTATTCGGTTATGTACCACTTTTAATTTATTTATTAAATGTATTTGCCACCCATCTCATTTTTGATGCAACTTTTACACTGAGTGGATAGAACTTATTTTATATTAATTTTTGCACACATTAAGTGGACCAGGCTTTCTTTGGGTGCAAGAGATGAAAGCTGGATAGCCAGATACATAAAAACATAGAACTTTTTGTTCTTTTGTATTTCATTCACAAAAAAAGCATGACAAAAAGTGAATAACTCACGTTTCATTACTTACTTAATAGGATAGGTTTCATCTTTCCTTCTTTTGTTTTCATGTTCAGGAAGAGATTCCCAGCCAAAGGATAAACTCCAGTCAAAATTTCCTCTGTTGTGGTTTTGACCATAAGGAGAAGGTTTATTAAACTCAAAAGTATTGAGGTCAATAGAAGAAATATCAGGGCTTACAACACAAGTATCATTTTCAGCTATTCTGGCTAGTAAAGGTTCTAGCCATCCATAAAAACACTCACCTAAAAGAAAGAACATTTCAAATACACTTCAACTATAAATATAATTTTAGTCCCTGGAAATTATTTTTAAAAACTGTTCCACAGGACACTTTTTTTATCAATTTCATAAATACTTCTACAGTTTACAGACAATTATCATTAAATAACACTAAATACGTATTGTCAAGGGAAAATATAATTAATTTTAAATAGTTTTCCTAGCCTAATAATTATTCAAAAGAAAAAAAAAGTTCAATGTGTCTGAAGCCATATAGAGAAATATTGTAAAAAATCTTGAAAATTTTAATTAATCCTGTGAATAAGACAAATATTGTTTTATTATATTTTATATTAAATGTATTTTTCAGTTTTCAAACATAATTCAATAGTTATTTTGGTAAATAACAGCCAACATATAAACAAAGGCAAAAAGAAGGGCAAGAACAAAGATTTAAACAGATGTAGACAAATTCTAGATTCTTTTATATTGCTTTAATTTAGTTTATGTAAGAAAATGGTCAACTAAATCTGTGAATAAACTTGGATGCTTCTCTGAAATCAGCGAAATCTAATTTCTTATTCAACTGCAGTTCTTTCAACAGCATATACATTCATCAACTGCAGGAAAAAAAGTTGTCCTATGGAAATTTCACAAAATAATTCTAAAGAAGCAGCTGCATTTTTTTTCATCTTTCTTGCCTTATACATTTTATAAGTAGCTAAGTCTAAGTCCTGAGAAATGGAAATACAAAACCTCTGCTTACTACTGTACATAAAGGTAAGAAAGCAAAGTAGTAATATTCAGTTATTAATTCTGTTTCCTCACACTCAACTCTCTTGTCAAAAGTCTAAGTACTCAAAAGAAAACTTCTAAACAGGTTAGGTTTTTTTTTAATTTCTCCTGTTTACTGGAAGGAATTTTGAATTAGCTGAGAGGAACATTAAATTAAAAGTGCCTTTTCAAATATAATGTTTAAAATTTAGTGATCACACCTAGGAAAGAAGAAATAATAAAGAAAAACAGAACTTTATTCCTTTTTTGGTACTTGAGCCAATTAGGAATCGGTATTCGGCCTAGTTAAGATATCCTATTCTTTCCCACTTTTTTTAAAAAAATAAACTTAAATCTCAGTATATTCAGTATACTTCTAAGTGTGCCTTCAATTTGTTCTTTAACAAATTCTGGCAATATCGCTAGTTGTTTTTGTTTAAATTCTGGCAATATTTACTTATTTTTGATACCATAACATTTTATTGGTTTAACCTTTCTTTTGAAAAGTCTAAGCTCTGCAGGTGCTTGGAAGCAAACTGTTCTTGAATTTTAAATGTGCAAGGAATTGGGAGCCTGTTGTTATTCAAGGAAAGAAAAGTATTCCATGTAAGTTCAGAGATGTTTTTCTTTCCATATTTCTAGATCCTGAGACTGGAAACGTACTCCTGGGTCAGAGTTCATAAAAGTTTTAGAAGACCCGATAGAACAATCACTTCTAACCAGTGAGCAGTCACAGCAGCACTTGACATATTTAGGTGTTGTTAGAAAAAGGGCAAAGGGTGGTTCTGAAAAAGGGCAGAGAACACTCTTGTGTTTTCTAATCATGGAGACCCACAGTACCATTTACTGGGCACTGATTTTAGTTTTATTCTAATGGATAAAGACAGGGTGAAAGAAAAAAAATATACACATGCTCATAAGTATTTTTATCAAATCACTATTTCTATCTAACAATTCTCTGGCAACAATTCACTTACTTATTTGGAATTACTCAATTATTTCAAGTCTTGAACTGTAAGATAGGATCAATGTATGTGAGCTGTTCTGGATTTTGGAGTTACTTAGAAGTAATTGCTTGCTTTTACATTTAGTTCCCAATTTCGTTTGTGCTGCAACTAATTATGAATTATACTGTTTTACAATAATATACTTTTGAACACCAGACTTATCCTGCTGAGATATGCCTTCAATTCTCTTTACTAATTTTAAGAAATGTACTGTTTAAGTTCTGGACTTCTAAATAATAAGTTATGATGGCAATATCTCAATATTCTCAAGTTTGAAAAATAGCGTATTAAATGGTGCAGTGGGGGAATGGAATTCTAAAGCTTCTCTATTTTCTCAGTTCCTCTATAACACTATAAAAATCCCAACCATTTTATGCCAGGTTTTGTAATGTAACCCCATATATTTAAATACCTACTTGAGAATTCTCAAGTAGGTATTTAAGAAACAAAAAACTATTTCCTACTCTAACAAGATGAAACATGTCATCCGCAATGCTTCTATTAAATTAAAAATAATTCAAAAGAAAATCACACACATAGTATGCATTTATTTTATTGTATGTTAGTATATTTTTCATATTATTATTCCTTGAGAGACATGCAACATGTTTTGCGGTTCAAACCCCTTGACCTCAGAATATCGATTCCAATCTGGAAAAGAGCTCACCAGAAGTAATTTGATCTGAAATGAGCTATAGTAGCTTCCCTAAATCAGTGCATCCTAATTTTAGATTTGATAGAAATTCAGTGACAAAATAGGATAATATGTCTCAAGTTACTCGGTGCTCAGTGAACTATCTAGACATACTTACAGTGTGCATCCAAAAAAGTCAGGGTTTCTCCGGTAGCTACTGAAGCACCTAACAACCGAGCAGTGATAAGCCCCTTTCTTTCCTTTTGTCGGACAACTTTAACTATTTGGAATTGTTTCACATACTCATCTAGTTTATCCTGCAAGTAGTCTGAAAAGAAAACAAGTTATTTTCTATACCTTCAACAAAAATAATGTTAAAATTTATTTATTAGGATCAGTTCTTCAGTGAAGAAAACCAAAAATAATGTAATTTTTCAATGACCGTAGTTACAGTTCTAAAAGCTTCCTTATCATCTCATTACTAAAAGATGAAAAAGTGACCAAACAAGTATCACCTTAATTCAGCAAAACTGTAATTGCTAATATCTACTAACAAAGTTAAGCTTTGGCAAATTTTTGTGCTTTTGGAAAAAGTGATCCATATATTTAGTTGGAATCAAATGAATGTTATTTTGTATCATTTAAACCAATTTGGCTTTATAATCAAGCACTTTATAACTGAATATTGTTATAGACAAGTGTTACATTTTAAAAGAAAAATTAAAGGTTAGCTCATCCTGATTTAAGAGACTATGACCAATGCTTTAAAGAGAATAAGTTGTTGATGGAGAATATTGTTTAAAAAAAATCTGTTTTCAATATGAATTATATGAATTTCTTATAATGATCCAGTACCTCTGACAGGTAGCAGGAATCAGCCTTACGATCTACGTAAAAATGTGTATCACATTTATCATTCATTCAGGGCAATAACATTCCCACAAGTCCTATATATACACAATCGAAAATGATAATTTTAGATCACAATGGACTACCCACAGGCACTTTTAGAATATTACTCAATTGCATGAATGGTTGTGGCAGTGTCATGCAATAGGAACAATCAGCAACAAGATGAGCTGTTCTAATCAGAAAGAGGCTTTTAGAAGACAGAAGGAAAAGTTGAAAATGGACAACTGATATACTGGGAAAATACTTACTGATTAACAAGACAAAGGGGCACATTCTACGCCATATTCTACTACGTATATGATTAAGCATGTAATATCAGCTAGTTTTCCCCTTTGACAACAAAAAAGATATTGCTGGTTAGCTCAGAACCAAGATAAATAACTTGTTGCACATATATGCCCATCCTTCTCTTGTTTGTAGTACTGAGCCTCCCCACAATTGCTTGAATGGCTTCAGTTACTGGTTAGGTGAGGGTAAAAAGAATGTGCATCCTGTATTTCAACAATTTGTTAAGTCCTAAAACAGCCAGTAATGGCCACTGTAGGGGAAGAACTACCAGGATGAATTGATGCACCGTATTCTTTTAACATGAATCTTAGTAAATGTAGCATGCAAAGAAAGTCCGTGACTTAATTCAGATACATCCATCTTTAGACTTCTCAATGTAACGCTATCTACATATGATTTAGAATTCCTCCTCCTTTATTTTCCATCACCAAGGAACTTCATTAGAAAAAGTGTTCCTGCTTTATAGTGTAACAACCCTTTAAGACAGAGCAATAGTTTGACAGTAATTTATCAGGTTTAGCATCACATCAAGCATTGCATAAAACCAACTAGTCCAACTATACTGCTAAAATAATTTGGCACATTTCCAATTCTAGCTTGAGCAATTGAGATCTAGATGTAAAATAATCTTAACCATAATTTGACTTAGATTGAACTGAGCCAAAAAGAAAGTGCATGCAAACTAATTCAGCTTAAAAGCATATGTGGATGTACCTACATTGTACAGGTAGACTTCAACTTACAACTACCGTTTGGACTGGAACTTCAATCAGTAAGCGAGGTGATCATTAAGTGAGTTCTGCCCAATTTTACCACCTCTTTTGCCAAAGTTGTTAAGTAAAACACCACATTCATTAAGCAAATCACTAATGTTGATAAGCAAATCCCGTTTCCCCCATTGATTTTTCTTATAAAAAGTTGCCTGGGAAGGTTACAAATGGTGATCATGTGACCTCAGGACCCTGCAAACCACAGGCTGCCAAGCGCTCCAATTTTGATCACACGACTGTGGGAATGCTGCAACAGTTGTGCTAAGACTAGTCTAAGTCTCTTTTTTCATCATTGTTGTAATTTCAATCAGTTGCTAAACAAATGGTCCTAAGTCAAGGACTATCTCTATGTCAGTGGTGGCGAACCTATGGCACGGGTGCCAGAGGCGGCACTCAGAGCCCTCTCTGTGGGCACATGCACCGTCGCCCCAGTCCTAGGCCTTCAGCTGGGTTTTATAAAACCTTTTCGCTTTAGGCCTCCACCACTGTGTGCAAAAAAAAAAAAAAAAGGTTCAATCAGTCAATTTCAACTTCTTGCGGAAAAAAAAAGATCTTGCAAAGTTGGAATTGATTGATTGAACTTTTTAGTCCCATCCAGTCTGCCGTTACCACCGCAGCAACACTCACCCAATGGGCCACGCCCAGCCAATGGGCCACACCCACCCGGCACTCGACGATGCATAAGTGGGTTTTGGGTTGCAGTTTGGGCACTCAGTCTCTAAAAGGTTCGCCATCACTGCTCTATGTGATTGTTTGTATAGTATATGGGAGGTGAATATTTCATCCCTTGAAAGGGCTGTCCCTTCTTTATTAAAGAAAGAAAAATGTGTATATTTTCAGGATATACCGTATTAATTAGTAAAAACCAAATCTGAAAGTAATCTATAGTTTAGAGACAGCATCTTACCGTCCACACTGGCATCATCTACCAAAAGTATTTCCTTCAGTAATATTGCAGGGGAAGTATACATCACACTATAAACTGTTCTCAGAAGAGTTGACCATGCTTCATTGTGAAACACTATGATAACACTTGTAGTAGGCAGTGGAGGACAGCGCTTAAATTTCTGTTCAATACATCTGGAGGATAAAACCATAGTTTATAGGAAAAAATTGAATCAGAAATGTCAGATCTTGATACTCATGGCATCGATAAAACACGATCAATGAGCTTTGCACGTATGGTAAAACTATTTAATCATTACTTTAAAAAACCCTAACAAAAGTAACATGGCACAGGTGTTTTCTAAGAATCTCATTTAAAACAATAAAGTGATAAACTCTGTATCACATTGTGTGTAATGGTATGTGGAAATGACCTTGAGAGACTGGGCCCAGAGATGCTGTCTAGGGAATGCTCAGATAAGAGACAGCTTAGTCTACAGCTGTAAATTAGGTGGGGTAAGCGGTACAGAAGAAGCCTTTACGAATTTCTTGGGATGAGATCTATACTTTCAGACATGCAAGATTCTACTAATATAAGCTACAATAAAGTAGAATAAGCTCATCTGGTCAAATTTCCTATCTAATCCACCTTATAAGATTGACATTATGAGGGAATATAAAGATTTGGAATAATTGCCCACAAACCTGCATCATAATTAGCAAACTATTCAAATTTAAAATAAACAAGTTTAAAATAAAAAAAAATCTACTGCTGGAAAATTGCATTAAGAGTTTAATCAATGTATTGGAAGTGCTCCAACCCCATATAAATTTTTCAAGATTTCTTTTAGATGCATGATTTGCTATCATCAACTATTTCAAATGTAGGTATGTATCTGTATGCTATACCTACAGATGTAAGAATTAGCAATTATGTTATTTATTTATTTATTATTAAGAAATTTTTATAGCCATCCTACTCATTCACAGTAACACCAGACGACTTACAAAAATAAAATCCCAATACAAAATCTAATAAACCCACACCCTCCTGGCGACAACAATCAAACCAATCACTTGATGACCCCGTATCACCATGGGGTCCCCAGGCCCACTGGCAAAATCATGTCTTCAGAAAGACTGAAGGAGTGTCAAGATGGGGGCCAATCTTATTTCCACAAGGATGATGTGGCTTGGAGGAAGCTATAATAACAGTAGTCACAGTTCACATCTTAATACAGAAATAGAAGCTCAAGATACCCTTTTTCAATATTTTACATATTTTTAATCAAAAACTAGAATATTTGTTCTTAGATCCAAATACATTTCAACGTACTCAGGAGGTCGTGTGTCTGGTCCTAGATCTCGATGTAAAGAAATCCTATCACTGGCAAATGCATTAAAACAATGCTTTTCTTCACCATGCTCTTTCTCTTTCCGTTCATCTGGGCTTAAATTGATGATTTTGAATGCTTTACCAGAAGCCCCTGGAGTATTAGGGTCCTGAGGGGGACGGTCAAGGTAAGGAGTCAATTCAGCAGCTGTGTAATATCCTGGTAAACAATGCTTCTGTTCAGCATTATGAGTCTGCCTAAGAGGTGCTTTAATTTGCATTTTTGGTTTTGCAGCTTTAATGTTGTTCACAGCATTTAACACTAGATCTAATACAGTTTTCTTTTCATCATGAGATGGCACTCCAGGTTCCTCATTAAATTCTTGGACACCTACTTCTCGTTGTAACAAAACCAAAATTATTAAGAAGACAAAAATAACGAATGTAAACTTCCAAAGTTTCTTCTGGGAAAACTGTTTCATTATGAAGCGCCGTAGCATTCTCATATAAGTCATCATGGAGAGTAGACATATAGAACTGCTTCAAAAATGTTCTTTTATACAAAATTGTTCACAAAATGGGAAAACCTGCAAGATTTTTAAAAATATTAATCATACCAATGTATGTTTATTCATAAAAATAATTGCAACAATTTAAATTAATAATAAATTCATAAAGTCACTACCGTTTAGGGTTGCTGAAATAATGTTCATTTTCTAACCTTATTAGAGTATTTGAATACTATAAGAACCCTCATTAGATACATCTGCCAGGTTATTCTTATTGTACATAGATTATTCTTAGGTATATTTTTCTATATATTTTAGATCAGATCCTCTAAAAATTTTAATTATTAGACATAAACAACCACTTGGGGCTATGAATCTCAAGGAAGTTTACAATATTCTGTTATGTGTCCCTGAATTGTGTCCCTGAAATAGGCGGTTCAAACTTCGAAATGAGTCATTCTGTTTTGGAAGTGTTCCAACTTTGAAAGGTACTTCTATTTTATGTGCTTTGGATATGATCCAACTTTAAAACGGTCCTTTTCTGTTAATGCCCGTTTCTCAGTTGATCACTTCTGGAACATTCAGGTGGCCCATTTTGGGACTGAAAAGACAAAATGTTTTGCGCATCCCAAGATAAATCTCCACTTTCCCTTTCAGTATCCTATATGCATTTTCAGATATGTTTCAAAACCATTTTTACACCTTTGAATGGTTGAAGACTTTTACAACTAAGATTAGCAAAACCATTTTTACAATCTCCCTACTGGCAGAGAATCATTTCTACTTGAAAAAACATCCATATTAAAATAGCAGTAAAATGTATTAAAACAGCACCATCCAAATGATAAAAGTTACATTTTAATTAGAACCACCGCATTTGTCCTTTTCAAATGAAACTTCTGGTTGTATTTTTTGATTGCCAGACAGTAAAAGAAAAACCTTGTAGTTGCAGTATTAAGCAACAGATTGTTTATATCCAGTTCTACGTCATTTGAGAGGACAAAGAGGTTAAGCTGCATTACAATGTTATGCATTTATTTGACATGGTAGCCATTCTAATTTTACAGATGGATGGATACTTACCAGTATGTCTCTCACATTACTCTGAATGTGTTGCTACCTGCTAGGCACTTTGCCTAAATCAGAATAATATATGCTATTTATTATTTGATAAGCATCTTGCCCAGTCAGGTATTAGAGATAATTTCTCAAGTGGTACTGGAAAGAACATTGCTCTAACCAGATGTGTGCTAGCCTTTCAGCCATATTGCCTTATGCAAGACTGGCAATCCTGTGTCTTAAAACTGTTTTGCATATTAGTTTTTGTGCAGCAAAAAAATCCCTCCAAACTGCACATACCATTTACTATAATCAAATTATTTGAAGGTATATGCACAAATAAAAGAAAATCTGTATCACCCTTCAGTATTACAATCCCTATTAAATCTCTTTAAAAATTATGAACATGTAGGAAAATTCTAGTTCAGAGTGGTAGAGCCATATCAGCAAAGTAAAATATTTTATATTCATTATTCAGATTTAGATTTAGATAAATTAAGACTCAGTAAGACAAACAAAGTTCCAGACTTTCTAGAGTCCCTAACCACTAACCACTGGCTCAATGAAAGCCCACTGTGAATATGCTACTGCTCCTGGACAAAGATCTGCTAATGCCACCCTTAATTTTTTCTGATCCAAGACAGAACATTGTTCCAACCTCACTGAAGCTCTTTCAGGCTCAGCTTCTTTATGGGATTCTGTTTGTACCTCATCCCGCAGGCTCGTGTTTCACCTCTCTGGAAAGGGTACAATCCAAATTCATAAGAGCAGCTCTCCAGATATCACGCTGTATCTCAAATGCACATCTACGAGTGGAGATAAGTATGATAAAACTTGAGTCAACAGTGTGTCTAGCCTTCTATAACCCTTTCCTTAAAACTCAACTTCTATCCTCAAGGCTTAGCACCATTAATTCTTGAAGACAGTTTTCAGTCCCCCTGGATCAAGGCTGTTGAATCTAATCTTTGAAATCCAGGCTACTCTCCCCCTACAATTCTTAACATGGATAATGATCAGGCGAAACAAACCCTGAAGCAAAGATTAAAGGATGCAGAGAGGCAAGCAGATCTAGGGAAGGCTCCAACCTTCCTGTCACCAGTACGCAATAGATATACTGTCACCACTGCCAGCTACCTTACATAGTTAGAAACCATCAGAAAGCTTACACAGTTACCCAGCCACCAGAAAGTTTCTCAACTGATCAACAGCAAGTGTAATTACCTCTATAAAAGCTGAAGTTTTAGGACTTCACTGGTCTCCAGCATTGAGGTATATGTTAATATAATGTCAAAGAGGAAAGACACCAGCAATGATCTTAGAGAAGCTACTGTTGCTGCCCATCAGTCTGGGAAGGGCTATAAGGCCATTTCCAAATAATTTAAAGTCCATCATTCGACAGTGAGGAAGATTATTCGCAAGTGGAAAACATTCAAGACAGTTGCCAATCCTCCCAGCACTGTATGTCTCAGCAAATTCACCCCAAATTCAGACCGTGCAATGCTCAGAGAAACTGTAAAAAATCCAAAGATTACATCTCAGGCTCTACAGGTCTCGGTTAGCATATTAAATGTTGAACGTCTTAAATTTTATTTTATTTATTATTTATACTGGTCTATGACTGCAATAAATTGAATATTGATTAGATTGGAACAATGAAGCTTGGGAATTTGATCAAATATAGAAAATGAGATATAAACATAAAAGGAAGGGATTTAATCACTTTATTCGATCAAGTTAAAAAAAGAATATACTGTAATTTTTGGTAACCATTACTGGACTTTTGCTAATTAGGATGGGTGATATTTTAAAGATGTACAGAGAATGTGATGAGATGCAGGATGAAGAGATTGTTATACTTTAAGAGATGGTAATAAGTTGTTAAAGTTGTTTATCCTTTATAAAGGGGGACATTATTTTGATTCTTTCTCTTTTTACTTCATTTTTTTTCTTTGCATGTTTATCTTTTCGTTTTTCCTTTTTATAGTTTGTATTAGTTTTATCCCTATAATGTAAGTTTTAATATTTTTTAAAAAAAAATTACCAGTGTATAAATCCTGATTAAGAGAGACTGAGATAATCCATCTCAGCTAGGATACTCTATAGCCGGAACACAACTATCATCGCAACAACTTATTCAAAAGTAGCAGGTTGGAGACTGGCTAACAGTTCCCCAAGATGGATGGGTCAAAGATAAATTTTTAAGGGACATTTAACTACCTCCTTCAAGGCCATGTCTTTCCTCCAAAGACATATTTATCACCTCTTTGATCTTTGCCCTTTTGTGTCCTCTATGGCTGCTTGTATTATCCAAGAAGAGCAAGGCTCTAACTTGCAGGTGGCTGAGCTACAGAGGATACTGTCAACTTCCTCAGGTGTCACAGGCTTGAAAAGTCTCAAATTACTTGGCAAGACATTATTTCTATCATCTCATCAGTATCTGCCCATCTACCATCCAACTCAGATCCAGTATAAGAGTATAGAGAAGGATGCAGATGGTCTGGAAGAAAATATGCAACACCTACTATATTATAAAAACATCAGCTTAGCCCAGTAAGATAGGAAAGGGCAAGGAAGAAATTCAGACTGATCCAGAGTATAAAAGGGAGAGAGAAAAGCTATCAAGCTTTCACAATTTGATATCAAGAGAATTCTAATATTTATTGGGTGGTCCCAGCTTCGTTTACTTCAAGAGATAGTATCTTCAAAATGCTTAGCAAATTGCTCAGGCAAGTCATGTCATTAATGCTGCTAGATGGTCCTTTGAGAATGTAGTAACCATGGAAAAGTACTAATATTTCACTGCTCTTAGTGTCACAGAATAGGCACAAATGTGGGCTCATGCCTATGTCTGATCATATTTTAGTCATCTTCTCTTCCAGTGCTCTCCCGCGTAAAGACCCCCGGTATTTGGAAAAGACCCTCTTGGATCAGCAACAGAGTCAGGCCACTTCAGAGCAACCCCATTAAAAGCCCTGCCTATCTTTATCCTCCAGAGTTCAGCCAATCTATCCAAGAGTTATCTGCATGGTTGCTGGGAAATTCCCTAAGTGCCCATTGGAAATAAAGTGGATCCAGAAGGTGCTTAAAGCAGACCAATCCCCCTATGGAGAGTGGTGCTGATTGTGAATTCCAGCAAATGAACCATGACAACAGACTGATGTTGATGTCCTTTATCCTCAGATCATGAATTCCTCCAAGGTGAATACTAGTATCATGGCCCCACCACAGTAGTTTGTGCCACAAATTCCTGACAACTCCCGTCTCCCATTCATGGAAGATGACATTTCCCAGTACATAAACTGCTAGGGAGCCAGCCACCAATGATTTTCAAATAGTTGCTCTTACTTACATTTAAAATTGGAAAAAATATATGGTTGCTATTTTACTTAATAGAGATGTTATTCTCACATGCACTATGCGACATGCAGTGGTATCTTGCTTTTTGTTTTTCTGCTTAAAATGTGCTTAAGACTGAAATAAATTACATAACACCATTAAAATCTGCTTCATCAAAAGTCAGTCTAAATTTCAAGGCTTGTCTAATTAAATACATTAGCTTTTAGCAAAAAGATAACATATATGAAACTAGCGTGATCTTCCTCACAGGGACTTCTAAAACTTAGAGCAGATACCAAGAAGGCCATTCTCATAATTCTGCCAATAGTATGTTTCATAGTGGCTGAATAGAGAGAGCAACACCTCTCAAAGACCTTAAGACATGAATTTTATAAAGCTAACCAATTCAGTTAAACAAATCCTTGTGATTACATTACATTACACTAAGCTTGGTTAATTTCAATTATAGCTTTTTAATAGCCTACGGTTTTATGCAAACATTAGTGCAATTGGTCCGTATGTGATTCAATGTATTGTGTGAACCAGGAAAATGGGATAAATGCAGTAGTAAACTGATTTGTTATAGAATAAGAACTTAACTGCTCAGTGATCCCAGAATACTGGATATTAAAAAGCAGGGAAATGTGTGGACAAAGCATAGATTAGCCATAATTCTGAGCACAGTACTCAATTTTGCAAATGTTATGTTGCAGGTTCTACTTTTATATTACCATATTAATAACCACAATTCTTAAATTGCTGGTTCTCTTTTAGTCAAACAGCACTTTACTATGCACACAAAAGAGGACACAAGAGACTTAAAGAAAGCCCAAATTATAAAAATTCTTCAAAAGAAAACAATAAAAACACAATGCTGAAAGACTTCTAGATAGAAAGTCAGATGGGAGGAAGAATGTAATAGCACTGTGGAATGAAGTGTGACTGACTGGCTGGAGCTATGGACAGAAAATTGCAATAATTTGTTGAAAGCCTCATTTAACTTTTTAGAAAAGAGGATCTGTTCTGTATGAATGAAGATGTTCATTATTTGCATATTTTAAGGACCTTGTTGTATAGTGATAACTATACATCTGCATGATTTCTTATGATATCTCATGCTAATATCATTATATTTACAATTAGAAGAACAATTTGTTAAAAACTTTACATTAAAAATGTCCGGGATCTTATGAGAGAACAGAAATCTTTCAAGAGTAGCTATGTTTAATTTTTTAAAATTAATTTGATGTAAATGGATGCCATCTACTGGCACAACAGATGCTATAGCCTGCTGGAATAGTATTACAATACCAATCCTCAGGATACAAATTAACAAAAATTCTTAATGCAATGAGCAGAAATACCAAATTATTTCAAACTCTGGATGTTTTGGAAGAAAGCATTTTTATATTTATTTCAATGTAGGATATAGATATCCTATTGTTTGTAAATAAGCCAAAAATGGGGGATAAATTACTATGAATTCTAATGTCAATCTCATTTGTATAAATAGTAAACATAGTTGTCAAGGCAGGTGGCAAGCCCATATAAATGGCTGAGCAAGCAGCGTTGGCAAACACAGTAAAAATTTACATGCAGAGATCCTATATGTTGGCTATGAAACATTCATAGTTCTCTCAATCCAAAGCTGTTGTATTACCTCATATTGATATAATTTGTATCATGCAATAAGTAGAGCTATTCTAAAAATTTAGAAAAACTTTCTCCAATCACACTTCTGGTTAAATTTGGGAAAGAGAAGTGAGCATTTTCAGCTATAAGAATTACATGAAGTATAGCTTAAAACTGCTTTTCCAAGAAAAGCCTTCATTTACATTTGGAAACAAAAACATCATTTATTGTTTGAGTTCAACAGATGGCCAGAGAATCAGTGAGTTATCTTGTTAAGCCTGGCATAGCATTCTCCAGTTAGCACAAAAAGAAAGAAAAGAAAGAAAAATAGAGCATCAAACCTATCTACATGGTAATATAGGTTATAGAATACTGATAATTATATGCCATCATGTAACTCTTAGTGACCAAACAGATTTATGAATTCTGAGTGTTGCTCTAACACAGGGTAAACAATTAATCTTCCAAAAGGCCATATGAAGGACAGTGGAGAGTTGCTGCCCCACCGCCACCGCCACCATGGACCAAACAGGGACGGAAGTGGCCGAGTTCTCTGACATTCAATTTAATGAAAGCAACAATAACCTAATTAGAATGGTTTTAATAACTAATGATATATTATTTAGGATTTAAAATTGTCAGATTAGGATCCATACGCATGGCAAAATATTTCAAACTATATGGTTTGGGATCTGGATCCATTCAGGTTAATTATGGACTGACAAGTACACTAGAAATGGTTTTCCAATGCTACTAGATATGTAGCAGTTCCTATCAGAATTTTTCTTTAATAGCAAAACTGCATTTACAGACTATGTATGGTACCAAAAATTGTGTTACTTATGTACTTCCTGATTTCTGACAGAAGTATAAATAGCATAACACATATACATACTGTTCTCTGCATCTAATAACTCCTAACAATTATCAAAACCTCAATATATTTACTGATCATATACAAGGGAGACTTACTTTTCTGTGATTTATGAAATTAAATAGTTTCTTCTGAGTAAGCATTACCATGTTATGTCAGAAAGATAGTTTTAGTTAGGCAACAAAAGGAAATATTTATAATAGTTTAATGCTAGCATCAAAAGTTTTCTTTATCACATCCCATGCCCATAATAGCTCAAGCCTGCTTCAGATTACATCCCACATCTTCTTAAAATGTTCTTGCAAACTAAATCTAGCAATTGCACCTCAGACTTAAGGGTTCTACTAAGTCACAGTGATCCCACTACAATCTCACGCTACTCCTCTCTTTTAAGTCAACATCTTCTGTTGGAAAATTACAACCTTCTACATCACTACCGGAAGCAGTTCCTGGAAATAAAATGCAGATTAGATCTGCCCCTGGCAACTTTTAATTTGCCTTAACTCAAAACCCAAACTTGCAGGGCAGCTCCAGGACCACACGGGGTTTTTTCATGTTAAAGATCCCCCCCCATCCTTCTGTACCCCCCCGTTTCTTTTATCATTCTAAAATCTATACAGTTCTATGATGGGGTTTTGACAGACAGTGCCCGAATTGTTCCTTAGGAAACAGCTATACCCACAACATTTTATCTCACAGCCCAGGGCTACCATTTAGCAATAGCCCGAACTAACCGAAGACACTTTTCGCACTTTTTAAAAATAGTTTGGGTGGCATGAAGAGGTCATTCTGACAGGATAGACCAGCGTCAAGGCACGACGCCCATCCAAACTCCCGTCCCTCGAAGCCTTGCATATAATGCAGTACCGCTATCAAATATTAATCGCTAGATGTAAAGCGGGGGGGGGGGGGAAGTCTTGCGAGGATGGGGCGCCCGCTTGTTCTCCCTCCGGTCCTCCTTCTCAATAGAGGCGCCGCCGACGCAAACCACGCAAGGCTTTTTGCCTTCGGGAGCGTTGCGGGAAGCGGGCGAGAGAGAGAGAGAGAGAGGGGGGGGGGGAATAAGCCGTGCTTCCGAAGACAGACCCTGCAGAGCCCTACCTTCTTTCCCCGGTTCGGATCCCTCGCCTACCTGTGGCCTCGACCAGCCAGCGGGAGAGGAAAGCAACCTTGGGCGCTCGCGGCTAGCTGTGCGGCTCTTTTTTTTTTTCTTTTTTTTTCTTTCCCCTCTTTTCGTTTCCCCGCCTCCCGCGCGAGATCGGCGGTCAAGGGAAATTGTGATTGGCTAACAATGCGTCGCCCGCGGCGCCCAGGTGAGCGCCCAAGCCGAACGCGATTGCGCTCGGCTGGGTTTCTCTGGAAGCTCAGGTGAGGCGAGAGCTCCTCCTTCCGTTCTTTTAACGGAAGGCAAGAAGGCCACGTGCCACGGGAGTGGCGGCTGGGGGGGGGGAGAGAGAGAGAAGAGAGCGAGGAGCTTAAGAGAAAGTGGGAGCGCGCGCGCACCGGCGATGTTTTGCCGCCTGCTGCAGCCCTCCGTTTCTGAACCAACTAGATGAGGCTTGCTGTAGCAGCGTGTTTTTAATACTCTCCAATCGCAAGTGCACCCTTTAGGTTTTGTTTTTTTTTCCCGCCTGTCCCGAAGTGTCACAAACTCCGTGCAAAAAAAAAAAAAAAAAAAAGGCCTTGTTTGGTGCAATCTTTCGCTCCTACTGAGTTCTAGATCCCCCTGCAGGTTTGATTTTGGAAATTAGCCCAATTGGCCGTTTCGGTTAGTTTGCTCTATTCCCATCGAGGTAGGGTCCCTCCAATTCAAAAGTGAAACCTATTGCTAAAGATGCCTTCAAAAAGGCTTGTTGGCTTGGGAAAAGTCAGGTATAAAATACCGGGGGGTGTCGTCGATGCTTAATGGGAGATCGGGTTCTTTAATAAAAAAGGAAAAAGGGGTTGCTAGATGCTACATTTATATGCCATACTCCTAGCAACTTTAGGGACTGTGTCAGTATAAAGATGTGAAAATCAGGTAAATTAAAGAACTCGGGCATATGTCTCCAAATTGTGGAGTCAAATCCAACTGTGGTCTCCAATTGTGAAGTCGAAAATGACTTGATGGTACATAATCAAAAATTAAACACCTTTAAACGGAAGTTAACATTTGGCACAAATTGTAATTGACAAATCGGCCTTATGTGTCCTACTGATCCTTATTGCCAGACAGAAAATAGGTATACCTGCATGCATTATCATGTGTGTGGGAAAAGTCTCTCTTCTAGAAAGTGATCAAACATGCTGGTGACTGTCTTATCTTTTAAACCCACTGGTTACAAGCTGTCCACAGGCAGCTTGGCTAGGACTTAATTTTCTTGCACTGATAAAAATAGTGCTGCATTACCTTGTGGACATGCCGTATTGGGGAGCAGGGGTGCAATTTTCCTTGCTGTCCATGATTTTCTTTGTTCTCTCTCACCTCAGAAAAGTGGCAGACAGTTCTTTGAGACAGCCAAGGAGGAGAAAGAATAATTTCCAATGCTTGAAAGTCACTCCTGCTCCCACCCTTTGCNGAGAGAGAGAAGAGAGCGAGGAGCTTAAGAGAAAGTGGGAGCGCGCGCGCACCGGCGATGTTTTGCCGCCTGCTGCAGCCCTCCGTTTCTGAACCAACTAGATGAGGCTTGCTGTAGCAGCGTGTTTTTAATACTCTCCAATCGCAAGTGCACCCTTTAGGTTTTTTTTTTTTTTCCCGCCTGTCCCGAAGTGTCACAAACTCCGTGCAAAAAAAAAAAAAAAAAAAAGGCCTTGTTTGGTGCAATCTTTCGCTCCTACTGAGTTCTAGATCCCCCTGCAGGTTTGATTTTGGAAATTAGCCCAATTGGCCGTTTCGGTTAGTTTGCTCTATTCCCATCGAGGGAGGGTCCCTCCAATTCAAAAGTGAAACCTATTGCTAAAGATGCCTTCAAAAAGGCTTGTTGGCTTGGGAAAAGTCAGGTATAAAATACCGGGGGGTGTCGTCGAGGCTTAATGGGAGATCGGGTTCTTTAATAAAAAAGGAAAAAGGGGTTGCTAGATGCTACATTTATATGCCAACCTACTCCTAGCGACTTTTAGGGATTGTGTCAGTATAAAGATGTGAAAATCAGGTAAATTAAAGAACTCGGGCATATGTCTCCAAATTGTGGAGTCAAATCCAACTGTGGTCTCCAATTGTGAAGTCGAAAATGACTTGATGGTACATAATCAACAATTAAACACCTTTAAACGGAAGTTAACATTTGGCACAAATTGTAATTGACAAATCGGCCTTATGTGTCCTACTGATCCTTATTGCCAGACAGAAAATAGGTATACCTGCATCATGCATTATCATGTGTGTGGGAAAAGTCTCTCTTCTAGAAAGTGATCAAACATGCTGGTGACTGTCTTATCTTTTAAACCCACTGGTTACAAGCTGTCCACAGGCAGCTTGGCTAGGACTTAATTTTCTTGCACTTTCATCTTGCACTGATAAAAATAGTGCTGCATTACCTTGTGGACATGCCGTATTGGGGAGCAGGGGTGCAATTTTCCTTGCTGTCCATGATTTTCTTTGTTCTCTCTCACCTCAGAAAAGTGGCAGACAGTTCTTTGAGACAGCCAAGGAGGAGAAAGAATAATTTCCAATGCTTGAAAGTCACTCCTGCTCCCACCCTTTGCCCACCTGTGATCATTCTGTTTTTCTGTTTAAGTAAGGAATTATTGAAAGTATGATCCAACAGGTTAAGGGTTGTCAAGTACTCTATAACATTTGTGGGTTTGACTCCAGATGTACATGTTCTAGACATGTGCCTGAGTTCTTTAATTGACCTGATTTACAGATCTTTATACTGACCTAGCCCCCCAGAGTTGCTAGGAGTAGGGTGTCATATAAATTTAATATATACTAATAATCTTAAGCATCACTGGCTAGCATTTTTCTTTCAGGTGTTCTATTGATATAAGAGACACATTAAAATTAATTTACTTTTGCAATCATTTCTTGGATTTGCTTATTGAAGATTTTAATTTGCTGGAATTCTCTTTAATTTTCCTCATTTGAGTGGATTGGACAAGATTTTCCTGTTCTCCATTTTGTATCCTGATTATTTCCAATACACCAAATACTAAGTTTAGTAAAAACTTATAGCATGGTTTTTTTTATTAGTCCCAATTCTATGATACTTTTTCTAAACCTCATCATTTGTTTAGTTATCATTTTTCTGCTGAAATTGACAGTTGACTGAGCCATTAGAATATTAATTTAATTTACATTCAAAAGAATGTAAAACACATATTTGCCCAGGATAAATTCTTACTAGTTTCATGTTACATACTCTTAATGATGTGAACAGGTTTGAAGCTTTAGCTATTACTAGCTGGATTGTGACTATAGTGTCTGTGATTTCCTTAGTGTATTGTAAATACTGAAAATCAAAACACTGAAAAATAACAATAATATCAGTATAAATTTAAGGATTCCATGGTGCTCTCTAAGCTTCTTGCAGATGTTTCATTACCCAGACTAGGTAACATCATCAGTGCTAGACTACCAAGCTCAGAGAGCATCAAGGATCCTCATTTCAACCCTGAGCTACAAAAATTTATTAGTATAAATTTCCATGGTACTAATGTCCCATTCCTTGGTTCTTGAATAAATTATTTTACTGCAGTGTCAGTTCCTTGCCTTATAAGGAGTCTTTCTTTGGTATACAATATATGTGTACAGATTTATCATTCTAAAATGTCTTTATGTTTCTTAAGAACTCTGAAATCCATTCACTTGAATTCCAGACAGTAATTAAATTCAACAGTTTAATTGGGGTGGCATTAGTTATAAATGTGAACGTTATTTCTCATACTGATAAAAGTAATACTGTTATCAAAACAATGAACAGAAGCAGATTGTCCAGCTTTCACCAAAATAAAAGCCCACAAACCAGTATGCTCAAAGTGTACCAAAATGTACAGGATTTACAACTTTAGATTGCTTATATATTGCTTTATCGTTTGAAAGTAAAATACTTGCTGGAATTCGTATAAGCTTGAATTTCTTTTAAATTAGTAATATTATTCAGAGCTCTTAGGTTTCTATTTGCTTGGGTTAACTTCTCAGAGGCTATGGAAGCTGCTTGATGAAAGAACAATGACAGACATGGAGGGAGTCACACTAATTATGAAAAAAGTTCTTGGAATGATGAAGTGAAAAACTCAGAGGTGAAAAAGTCATGTGAGAGAATGATTGCTGCAAACAATGGGACAAATCTATTTTATTATAGGGATATAGAGAAAAAGATAGTGGCAAAGAATGTCAAAGGCAGCAAGGGATTTAAGATTGGACACAGCAAGGAAAATGTAGATATTGATAAAAATAAAAATCTATTTTGGAAGCAGGTGAAGAGGGTCAAACAAGAAGCTTCCAACAGAGTGAGTATTATTACACAATGTATTTGTGTAAGGGAAATTTGTAATGACATTACAGGTGAATTGATTTAAAATGTGAGTATGCATGTTTGTACATAGTGAAGTTTTACTGAATAAAAGCCAAATGATTTGCAGTAATATTAACTAGATTTATATGCAATTGACAAAAACCTGTGTAAGTACTATAGCGGATCTTATGTACCTTAATGCAAGGTTTGTTACAAATAGGAAAATGGATAAAGAAATTTTAATATGTGGAAATCCTGATAGAAACTTAATAGGTACTGTTTCTGTTGCAAGAAACCAAATGGCTGTGTATAAGAGCATGTTTCTGCCCAATTTTTTGTTATATGGAAGCATGTCTATGCTAGGTGAAATGTTGAAGGTTGAACGCAATGGAATGGGGTAATTATATGCATATGGTAATACAAGAGATAGACTGAGAACAAATGAGAACTGAATATTTATTGAATACAAAAATGAGCAATCAATAAAGTAATATGGGTAGTCCTTGACTTACGACAATTCAGCCCAAAATTTCTGTTGCTAAGTGAGGCAATTAAGTAAGTTTCGCCCCATTTTACAACCTTTCTTGCCACAGTTGTTAAGTGAATCCCTGCAGTTGTTAAGTAAGTGACATGGTTGTAAAATGATCTGGCTTCTCCATTGACTTTGCTTGTCAGAAGTTTGCAAAAGGTGATCACATGACCCCAGAACACTGCAACC